CGGCTGCCATTGGCTGAGCCTGGGCCCCCGTGTGCAGCAGCCTCCTCCTTGTGCGTGGTTCCTATGCAAATGTGCAGCGATTGCGGAAATAAACAGGGGGGAGGGGGGAGAGGGAGGGAGTCTGCCGAATCGATTGCAACTTCTGCAAAGTCTAACACAATCCAAAGCACACAAGGCAAAGCCAGGGGGAGAGAGAATCCGAGAGCTCGGCTTGGATCGCTTTCAAATGAGAGAGAGAGAGATTGCATTGCAAAGCCTTCTGATTTGGGAGTGAAAAAAAAAAATCCTAACCAGCAGTCTGCAATTGGCTCCAGCTTTTATTCTCTTCCGGGTTTCCAACGGCTTCAAGTTTATTTAGGGATTTAAAAAAAGAGAGAGAGAAAGAAAGAGAGCCAAAAAAAAGTGTCAACCCATGAAGCCAATCGTCTCAGCCTTGTAAAGTTTCTCACGTACTCTTTATACCTTGCAATGGTACGTGGTGCATCTTCAACTTTTTAAAAAACAAAAAAACAAAATCTTGTTTCCATGTTTTTATAAACAAAGCTGTGCGTGGCGCGAGACTGGACTAGCTATTGTGTTGCAGATGCGGTCGTTGGAAGCGATTTGCTCCAGAAAAAAGAATGCCTCGCTGTGTGTATCGGTGCGTGTGTGCGTGTGCAGCCGGGTGGGTGGGTTTTTTGTGCGTATGTGCACTAGAGTTTCCTTTTTACAGGGATTTGAGAAAACCGCTGATCTTGACAGATTTTTTTTTTTTCCTCCTAGCGCTTGCTCGGCTCCAAAAAAAAAAAAAAAAAAAAAAAGCTCAGGTCTGTAACAAGACGTCTGGCATCCTAGCACAAAAGGAAGTGTCTAGACGTGGGGTGTAATTGACAATCGCTTTCTCTAATCAATGTTGCAAAGCTCCATGACGGGCCTGCGCGCCGTCCAATGAGAGCGCGGCCTGCAACCCGGGTGTTGCAACGTTCGAAATCTCCCAAGGGCGGGAGGGGGATGGGAGGGGGCTTGCCTGGGTTTTTTTTTTTTTTGGTTTGGTTTTTTTTTTTTTTTTTGCTGAAGTTGTTTGAGCTCAGCAGGAGCTGGTGTCGTTTCAAACTGTCAGAGCTTCAGCAAACTCTTCCGGATTTAGCAAAGCACAAAAAAATAGCGAAGTGTTTCCGAGTGTTTAGCAAAATGCTGAGTGAGGGGGATTTAAAGAGAAGGGGGGGTGGGCACCGAGTTATATGTTCTCCTTTTGCACTTTAAAAATAGATGAATGTCAGGGCAATTACAGCAGCCCTCCTCCTACGGTTTGCATTTATATGAAAGAAAAATCTGTCGGTGTTGGTGTTGGGGAGGCGGGCAGGGGCGCTGCAATTGTGTTGTCTGCCTTGATCCCGGTTTGTTTGCACTGCATGGCAGAGGATGAGACTGGGAGAGGGAGTTGAGCGCAGGTATCTTTGCGCGTTGGGGGTCCGGAACCAAAAGTCTCTGGAAGTGCTTTGGAAGGACAGGCATGCGCCTCTCCTCAGCACGCTCCGCGTGTGTAGCATTGTGTCTGCTTTCTCAGTCCATTAGTTGCCTAATGGTGAGCAGTGTGCATTGGGGTACAAGTGAACATTGGGGTACAGTGTGCATCGGAGCACAGTGTGGATTGGGGTACATTGTACATTGGGCTACAGTGTATTGAGGTACAAGTGTACATTGGGGTACAGTGTGCATTGGAGTAGTGTATTGAGGTGCAGTGTGCATTGGGGTACAGTGTGCATTGGAGTACAGTGTATTGAAGTACAGTGTGCATTGGAGTAGTGTATTGAGGTACAAGTGTACATTGGGGCACAGTGTGCATTGGACTACAGTGTATTGAGGTACAATGTGCATTGGGATACACTGGGCTACAGTGCATTGTGGTACAGTGTGCCTGGGGGCACAGTGTATTGAGGTACAGTGTGCATTGGGGTACAGTGTGCATTGGACTACAGTGTATTGAGGAACAAGTGCGCATTGGGGTACATTGTGCATTGGACTACAGTGTATTGAGGTACACGGTGCATTGAGTGTGTCGGGTCTGCTCTCAGGATGTGAACTCGCGGGGTCCGTGTTTGCTCGGAGAGTGACTTTCAGCTGCGGCCAGGTACGAAGGGGTGACGGGCCCGCCCCGCTGAGTTTGGGGGTCGCCCCCAGACTCCAGCCTTCCCCCTGGCTTTGTCTGTCAGCAGCTTGGAGCCTGGCCCGAAGCCCTCCCTAGATATCAGTCCCTGACACCCGTCCAGGGGAAACCAACCCCAGCACAGCTTGCCTTGAACTGGGAGCTGGCAGCCACTGACTTGAACTGTCCATCTCCCCTTTCCCTGGGGCGATGGAGGTGCTCAAGCCCGGCCGGGGAGTGAGCTGGGGGCAGCCCTGAGCCCTCCCGCCTGCTAACTGGTGCAGCGAGAGGCCAGCACAGAGCAGGCGGAGCAATGAAGGGCGCAGAGTCTGGA